GTGTTGTATTTAACAAATTAAATATTAATAAACTGATCGCTTGTTATAGTTTATTTCCTTTAAAACTTGTGAAACTTGTTCATACTTTAATTGAAATCATTTTATCTTTCCCGGATGTTGTATAACAGAGGAAAAGTTTAGAGATCGGTTAAAAAATGATCCTATGTATGGATGTGTCTGTGTGTATATGTTGCAGGATTTTTTCCATCTACTTTAAAACTTAATAATTTCTGTGATGAGAGGGGTTTATATATTAGGGGAAAATGTTTTCAGAAATTTTTAGGAAAATCAGTCGATTGGTTCGGGAGATATTAAGGGATGGATTCATATCTCAAAAAGTTTCAGTTATGAAATTTTTTTCTCGTACAAAATTTTAGTTTACTAAAATAAAAATCTCTTCTTTATCCTCTAAATTAAGCTTTTTTTTTTTTAATTATAACTAACAACATAAACGTTATTTTCTAAATAAAATCTCATAGCAGCTAACGCCACATAATTTTTTTTAAAACTTCTCTAATATGTTTCTTAAACATAAATAATTTTGCCCGGAAAGCAACTGAATGTTTTTGATTAAAAAGTTATATATAACTGCAACGTTTCTATAAGCATTTAAGAAAGTCAATCATGTTAGATTATTTCTTTATTTATTAACATAACAATAACATTGCTACCGATATACTGGGAACAATGTTTTTAGATTTATTTTAGAAACATTAACAATATTAATATCAAATGTAAACATTCTATAAGCACGTCGTTTATGTGCAAGTTTTAAACAATTTTAAGTTTTCCAGTTTTAAATTTTTACAGATTGTAAATAAACGTATTTCAAATGTTACATTGAAACAGTTTATAGTTTACTAATGGATCTATTGAAAATTAGAGAAAATATTAAAAATTGAAAAGACTTTATGAAATATTTCAAAGACATCAAATGAAAGACGGATATTGAAATCAATATTTTGGCAATACATTAACTTACATGTGTATCCATTGTTAACACAACAATAATTTTAATGAGGGGTCTTCCTTTAACTATGTGTACAACAGGTTTTGAGCCATTTTTTAGCCTCCTCTCCTTTAATTACCTGTACCCGTGGACCCCCCAGAAGAAATGAGTTAAGAAAGTTCTTCAAATATTATGTAACTGTGTTTATTCACACGACAACTAAGTAGACTCATAAAAACAAATTCGTATGCCACTAATACCACTAAAAAACGTCCAATGCATACACTCCCTCCTTCCCTATTGTGTCAATAATGTACTTTTCGCAACTCCCCTTAAACTGAACATGTAATTAATGGAAGGCCCCTAAGTTAACATGTGATGTTTAGAAACTTTTGAGCAACATAATACACAGTATTTAATCAAATGGCTAAAGTATAAGATTTTAGGAATAAACGTAATTTATTTCCAAATCCATTAACATTAAAACAATACAGCATTAAATTATTCAAAATCTAAAAGAACTAACAGTCATTCAACACATCTTTTTTTAAACAATGATCAAATCACACAGATATAAATATAAGCTATACATAAATACAATGCAATACAATAATAATTTGTACCATTTAACAGCCATTAAACATTACGTTTATTACAAATTAGATAAAGATGATTACGTATTGTTTCTCATTTAAAAAATCCAATGACATATCAGAATGATAATTTTAAGAGAAAATACAATCGATATATAATGACTAAGGCTAGGATATCTAGTAACTAAATAACATATAAAAATCACATAACTATTTATAAGTTAAAAATTATATGATTTTTAATGTATAGATGTCCTAGCCTTAATAATGACTTTAAAAAATAAACAGTAAATTTTAATCCAAAGACTTCAACTATCCGAGCAAACTATCTAGTTAATAGTTTTAGTATAACATTTTTTAAATATGTAGCGAAGAATATCATATTTAATATTTCTATGTAAAAAGTAAAATAATTCATGAAATAAGAGTAAAATTAAATAGATTTAAGGAAGTTCATGATTTTCTTCATTTGACAAGAAATTAATTAAGAATCTTGCAATTTTTCTTTAATTAAATAGCTGGCATTTCATAATAGAGTTGGCTAATAAGAATTAGAATTACTTTCTTCTTTAAAAAAAATACATAAGATGATATTGATTAAGTGGGAAACACACTGATTATAAAGTAATACACAATTTCAAAAACGTCTATTATTTTTTCTCTTGTAGGAGGACTGTTCATAAATTACGTAACGCAGATGTAAGTGGGTAGGTACGATCGTTACGATACGTTTTAAGGTGGGGTGTTTATACAAACGACACGTATTGCTAGGGTCTTAACCCTCGGGTAACAGAATTTATTTTTGTTTGTCAAGTATGTCATAGCGAACCGTACTGTTTATGTCACTGCTTTGTACGTTATATATGTAATTAATAAGATAATGTAACGTTCGGTAATCAGTGCTGTAAATTATTTCTTAGTACAATTAAGGAGGTTGATTAAAGATGTACGCTACGTAATTTTGGGGTAGATATATGCGACAGTGTTACAAAGCGTAACAGAGGCGAGATGATAGCTGGAAAATATAAAAATAGCGTTACAGAATTTATTGACTATTCCAGAGAGATTGTCAACATTTTCTGTTCAGTNGAATAGAATTTTTATGAGAAAAATAATTCTTAAATATTTCTTAAATTTGTTTTTGCTACAATTAATTTGAAAAAGATAATTTTAATTAATTTATGATTTAACATCATGTTATAATATGAATCCAATAGATATTTTATACAACAATTTACTTATAAGAGTTCATAATACAGTCAAACCTCTGAAGAACGGCCATTGACAGGAACATAAACAGGTTGATATGTGGAGGTTATTCAGTATTTTTGTTTTTAAAAGTTCCTGAAAAAATGGTCGTTGTTAGGAGGTGGCCATTATCAGAGGTTCGACTGTATATTCATCAAAAGCACTTTATTTTCTTTTTCCCATTCCAACCTCTACATTTTTCCTATATCTATCAATATGTACCAATTTTTCGATGTGTTTGCTAGCCAATTTTAGCACTATCGAAGAAAATAAGTGTTATATTGTCAACTAGTTATACATATCTATATTTGTACTATTCTATTATATTTTCCAGAAAGGTTCAAAAGGAATCGATAAACATTTTTTTAATTACGAGTATTATGTTTCACATGACTAATATGAGAATAAATTGTAAGATTTGTAAATTGTTCCAATTAATTGAATATTTTATCTACGATAGAAACGATTAAAATATTTTTAAAGTTGTAAAAACAGCTATTAAATAAGTAGAATTACGTAAACGTGGGTCAGAAGAGTTCCAATAATTACAGAAAATGTAGTTTAATTCATTATTGAAAATATATTTAACTTAGCCATTCTTGAATCAACTAAATCATTTATAAATGGAGGAAAATAGACAAGATATACAGTTCAATTCACACTTAGGCAATGGAGTAGTCAGGAGTTAACCCTTTGTATACATCAGTGTATTTAACAACAACTAAGTATTAAAAGAAAGTTTGTCAGATAAAATCCACTTTAAAAATGTCATTAAAATAGATAAAACCAAAATTAAGACCTTAAAAAATACAATATATTGCATTTATTAGTTATATTTTTTTTATCGTTTTCTTCAAAATTGAACTGATAAACAACAAGAGTATTATTTTCAGGTACGTATATATATTTTTATGATGCTCTTCAAGATATGTTAGTCATATCACATGGTAAGAGACTCTGTTATTGCCGCGAAAAATTCCGCCGTTTCTGACTCCCAGTACTTTATTTTTTATGGAAATGTTCTTATAAGACTTTTCATTCTTCACACGAGTATATTACGAATAGGATATGCAATACTATTGATAAAACTGAAGTCGGTCATATAACTCACTTGGGTTTATATCTCTCCTTAAGATTTCCGTTCTATCAATAAGATATGTTAAGTTCGTAATAGAATTTTTATTTTTAATAGATTTTTTTCAGTGGATTATCTACATCTGTTAAAATAATTTTCTTCACAATTTTCACAAAATAATCTGTTTTGCATCCAGTTATGATTAAGTTCTGTATATTTAGAATACACACTAAAATTTACAGATATTATTAAATGACACACAACTACAGTTTATCCTAATATTTTTAATCATCCCTGCTTTTTATTTTGTATTTTAATTTCTACTATTGGCAGTTCTTTATAAGCTTATATATTTATTTGTAAATAACTGTTTTTGTTTTCTTTTTTTTTTTCTAGTTCTAATAATATTATCTTAATGGCGACTTTTGATAAGGAATATAACGAGATACTTATACAAATTAATTATTTAGCATTTGATTTCTCGGAAAATATTTCTGGTCTAATTTTTTTCTTCATTTCATTGCATAAATTCTAGATGATTTAACTTAACTGTTCCCTCTTATATGCAAATAATTGAATAGATTTTAATGAAATAATATTAAACTGGGATATACTTTTAAATGTTGCACACAAGAGTAAAATTATCCTATCCAATTTATATCATCCTCAGGCAAAAAAAATATTTTGAGAAATTTTCCATGCTAGTAATTTTTCCATCAACGAATAAATGTGTATACTTCATTATAACATTATTAATGATTGTCATTAATAAGAATAAATTTTTATATACTGAATATATACACAATAATATAGATATGTACTCTTTATATTAAATAATTAGAGCTTCTTTCTATTCCATTCGCGCTTATTTATCAATATGTGAATTAATTATATACATTTTATATCTCTCCAATCAAATTATCTTCACTATTACAATATTTCGCAAAGTGCTTCAATTATATTTATAAGTTAAAGCAATTAATTTAACTTTCAGTAACAATTAATTGCATTTTGTTTTAAATTTGTGCTGATTAGCGACAAAGAATAAACTATTAAAATGTTCTCATCAATTTGAATTTCATTTCGTAGAATGTATCCATTTTCATTTATTTACTTCAATAGCTTTGGATTAGAATTTATAATATGAATTACGTTACTGATTAATTTTTAATTAATAACATGTAAAATGATTGGAACATTTTAAAATAAACTATTAAGTTTTTAGTTTATGGAAATTAATTTAAAAGCTTTGCTAAGAAGAGTTCATTTCTATCTGAAGTTGGTAATCAGAAATTTGCAGAATTGATATTTATACAAATACTTGGCGATCCTTACGTAAAGTTTTCTTTTCTGGAAATTGCTTAACAAATTGTACTGGATAAATGACCTGTATTTTAATGTATAATAAAACACTACTATTCCCAATAAATCCATTTAGACCACCAGTGGCAAATGAAACGAGGATCAAAAACTTGACTCCAAACTTTATACATCTCTACAACAGAAACAGAATGAACAGAAAATAAAGTTCTGAAAAGGCAAGGATTATTATTTAGTTTGATATGTAAAAATTTATCGTGATTTCTGGGTTTCAAACCAGAATAACGAGCACATAGTCCTGTAATAAAAACATCTTCTATACGTATAAACGGTATTTTTAACGAGTTATTATAAAGCTCTGATACAGCATAATTTCCTAAAATGTATGCTCCACCGGTAAGATAATCTGGGTACATAGGTTCGGGATATTCATTTATGGGCATGAACCATTTATGAGCAGGATTTTTAACTGGTGTAACTTTCGAAGAAAGAGTACCAATCATCAATTTTACATCTTTCGCTGCTTCAATATATTTAACGATATTTGGAATATGCAAAAATACATCATCGTCCACTTTCATAACATATCTAGCTATATTACAATAATTTACAATCCACTTTAACAGTAGGACGGATTTAATAGTTAAATTTAAATAATTTTCCATAAAATCGTATTGAATAATGTCTGAATATTTTTGACTTTCTTCTTGAAGATCATCACTTATCTTAGAATTGTTTGTAGTACCTACTAAGAAATAAAATAAGGTATTTTCTGCCTGTGAAACATCTATACCCCAAGTATCTCTTATAGCTCTTCTTTGAAGAAAATTACCAATTGATGAGCAAACAATAATTACTAATTTTGTTTCTGACTGACACAAAAATTTAGGCTGCAATATAGGAACAGTATTCGATTGCTGGACTAGTTTCTGATATGCATGTCTTTGTGCTACCCAATCATTTATTTCACTGTTGTTTATAAATACTCGGATAGCAACGTTTGGATCGGATTTCTGAATTAAGGCTTGATAGACCAGTATGATTATAAAAGTACATATCAGTATGATCAATCCTTTATAATATTTATGCAACATGTGATTTTATAAATCGATTTTTTGATCATTTGTGTTGATAAAGCTGAATGAAACTTTACAAGGGGTTGATTCCATCTTTGTGAAATCTGAAAATATACACCTAATTAGTAAATACATTATTTTTAGTAATTCATTAGTTTACTGGATAAACACATTAAGAAATAAATACAAATTTAATACATAAAAATTAATTTAGCTGCATTTATTATGTATTGTAAAGCAATTAAAGAATTTTGTCAATAATTAAAAGTTTAAAAAAATTAAAATTAAAGTTATTTTATTTTAAATTTATATTTCACATCATAAAAAAATTAAATTATTTAATAACTCCTTCAAGACTTTCTTCTTAATTATATAGGCTATATATATATATATCACATACAGGTGAAACGTGATACCGGATCTCTTTTTAGGCTATATCTTGCTGTACAATTAACTGCACGGCAACTCAGTGGCACTCCTGTCGCAATTCCCGCATCCTCGAGACTAAATAAATAACAAATGCGCCAGAAATAATTACCATAAGTCAGCACAACATTCTGTACTGTATACAACATTTTCCTGCTAGCAATAGAGTCGTGTCGCTCATCTGTCTAACTCCTTTCGGGAGAAAATATTTGGATTGAAATAACGTGACTTCTTGTTTGCATCGGAAATTCTTATATAGTTAATTGGTATCTTCTGCCCGTAAGATTTTTCATATCTGATCTTGACTTTCATCTATCTAACTCGTTCTCGAGATTAAGGGAGAACTGACAGACGGACAGGCGGATGAAAATGGGAATTTATAGGTCTACAGTTTTTTCAAATCGCAGCCCAATAACCAACTCCATTTGAGAATTTTAAATTACTAATAATTTAAGGAAAAGTATTCTGGACGATACGTTGGAACTTTGTTCGACTTAAATTTAGTCGATTCCATAGGGAACGAAGCAAATCCTCCCATCTGTCTATCCTTGCAATTTTTGAGATTTCTCTTTTTTGTTGGTATATCTCTACGATAGTTTTTTCTTTTTCTTTAATCTTTTTGTGCTGCAATTTGAAAATATTGTAGACCTATAAATTTCCACTGACGTCCATTCGTTTGTCTACCTGGCTGTCCTTCATTAATCTCGAGAAAACGGAATTAGATGAAAGTCGTGACCAGATATAGAAAGAATAGACGTAGGAGGCCTCGATTAACTATTAATATATTAACGTTATTTCAATTCAAAAATTTTCCTCT